CACAAACCTGGCCTGATCTTGAAGATAATGCACACCTGGTCTGATCTTGAAGATAACACACAGCTGGCCTGATCTTGAAGATAACACACACCTGGCCTGATCTTGAAGATAACACACAGCTGGCCTGATCTTGAAGATAACACACACCTGATCTGATCTTGAAGATAACACACACCTGGTCTGATCTTGAAGATAACACAAACCTGGGCTAATCTTGAAGATAACACATTAACACTTTCATTCAGTGCTTCACGCCAACACCTGACTTTTGATCCTGATACATTAAATTGACAGCTGGCTGGTGCCTCATCTCATGCATTGCCATCTGAGAAAGTCTTCCAAGAAAACCGGGGATCGAATCCCAGCCTCTAGGGGCACCAAGGACGCTGGTTCGATCCCACCGTCATGCTCCAAAGATTTTCTCATAGATCACAGTATTGTAATAATGGTGTATTGCAGTCTGTTGTGACTCTGATTGTGCCCATCACCATCTTGCACCAGTCTGATTCCAGACACCATCACCTGATGGTGAATCAAATGAAACTGAAGAGTTAAAACTCGTACCAATGAGATGGAGATGGATAAGCATTAAAAAGAGACAAAAATGGTTAAATTCAACTTTAAAACATGACTGAAAGAAACGAACATGTACGTATTAGAAAAAAATATCTTAGAAACTACATGAATGCAACGTAAGCTGTTGAATCTGGGAAGAACTTGCCGTGTAGTCTTGAAGCTGGTGGTATTATTGCATGACATTTACAATGATTTCCAGTGCATCTCTGGAAACGGGTTTGTTGCCAAGGAGCTGGGAGAGACGTTCACGTTAGACCTGCACACAAGAGGCAGGAACCATTCATCTTGAGACCAGTCTCTTTAGGATGCATTCAGATACGTGAAGACACTGTTAGGCTTGTCATTATAACCCTCTGTTGTCTTTCAAAGACTTAAGTTAAGACTGTCTAACATCCTCTAGCTTCCATCTACTTGACTCTGAGGCTTGTATTGAAGTAGCTTATGTGGATCTGTATTAAATATCTTCTTACAGTCCAAAGACACACCATTTGTTCATTCTTTCCCTTGATGATTTATCATTGTAGTTTGTAGTAAAACTCCAACAGGCTCATTAAGCGATAACTGTCTTCACTGAAGCTTAGATGGTGTTGAGCCCTGGGAGTCAGTCTTTATTTAATTCACTAATTTCCTCTTGGGTATCATCTTCTGTAATTTGCAAGGAAAGCAGGCTTTTGTCTCAAGAATTTCTTTCCCCTCTTTCGAGGGGGAATTAGGCGAGTACTACATAGTAGTCGTTTGTTCACGTTGGCTTTTTCCAATTCAATATTCCCCTGAGTTTGTCTCATTTTGAGTGAAAAGTCTTGTCTATATATGGAGGTCATTTCCCCATTCTCCTTGTCTTCTCTCCAAGAGTGCATAGTTACAAACCCATTAAGATTTCAACTTAGATTCAACAGAGCAGAAGAAGTTGTTAAACACATATGGCAAAATCTTACTGAAGCGACCATACGAGTCATAAATACTCACACTCCGCCCAAGTAAAACAGAAACAAGCAACACTTAGTGGGCCAGCCAGAGGCTTAGGGCCCGCGCAGGAATATCCTTGCAAAAAAAAAAAAAAAAGAAGTTCTCTCCAAGCTTACCTCTTCAAAAAGTTCCTTGCTATGGACTTTACAAGTTTTGCTTCTCATGACTCCTTTTATTGCATCTTTTTCCTGTATGTGTGTATTCGTATTTGATCTAGGCTTCTCATTCTTCACTATTTTGGTGTACAGGTTCCTGTACCTTTTGGGCTCTATCATATCTTCATTTGAAGTTGTGCACGAAGCCCACTAAATTACTTCTTATTGCGATATGTTAACTAATTTAGCACTTAAAGATTTCTAATGTCTCTGTTGTTCAATTGGGTATACACCTGTGTCTTCTTAATTGTTTATCAACCATCCCAGGTAATTTATCTTTTCATTGAACACAATGTTGTTTTCTGAGTTCAATTAGAATGTGGAAAATGTATTTACATTTGTTTGGAGGTTTGCTGTGTTCTTAATAAAGTCCATACTGTCTCCTCTCCTAGAAATTCTTTAGTTTGCCCAATCAGCTCTCCTAAGAATTTTGATCGTGGTAATCATGTCTCCCCCTAGCCCTTATATCTTCCGTTTAATTGGGGTTTAATAACGTTAGTTTTTTCATTTGTAACTGATTCGTGTGTGTGTGTGTGTGTGTGTGTGTGTGTGTGTGTGTGTGTGTGTGTGTGTGTGTGTGTGTGTGTGTGTGTGTGTGGACCGTTTAGAAACTTGGCATTTCTAAACTGTCCAACGTGTATATATCAAACCCAATGGGTTCTGGAGATAACAATAAAGTCTTTCGATATTCTCAGAACTATTTTATATTCTGAGAATATAACTAATTAAGAGAACTAATTATGTCCTGAGAATTCCGAGAACTAATTCTCAGAACTAACAGGCAAGATAAATATTTCTTAATGACCAATTAAACTTGAGTGACGGAAGTTTAGACTCTTATCTTGCTGTTATACTTGTAAAGCATCTCTCTGAAAATCTGATATTTACAGAAAGTTGACAAGTAATATTGATTACGTCAGAGTCTAATGGCGACGATTAGCTGGAAAGGAATTCCTTACATTACAGCTCTTTAAATATTTGCCACCATCTAACTGAACGTAAAAATTGAGCGTGTGTATACTATATATATTTATATCTCTGTATATAAGCTTGTATACTATAAATGCATTTTTATGTGTAAAACGTGTCACCTGTGTCCTCCTGTATCACGGTTATCTTGAGGTTATCTTGAGTTGATTTCGGGGCTTTAGTGTCCCCGCGGCCCGGTCCTAGACCAGGCCTCCACCCCCAGGAAGCAGCCCGTGACAGCTGACTATTTACTGGTAGGTAACAGGGGCATTCAGGGTGAAAGAAACTTTGCCCATTTGTTTCTGCCTCGTGCGGGAATCGAACTCGCGCCACAGAATTACGAGTCCTGCGCGCTATCCACCAGGCTACGAGGCCCCACCGTATTTATAGCTGTGTCCTCGCCTAGTTGTGCTGGCAACCCATACTGCTGTTTAGATAGTACCTATTGTGACAGTCTTCAATAGTCACGAATTCGTACGTACTTAGCTTTTAGATAGTAGTAGTATACTGACTAGTAAGGAATTCTTTTAAAATAAATGAAGCTAAAAAACTAACTTTAATATTCCTAGGCTTAGTATAGTACACATATGTACTACGTTAAGCCTCAGATATCGTGTATTAGACCCAGGAAGGTTAGGTTAGGTTAGTTTAGTTTGTCAATGCAACACAAGTAAAAATACAAGTTTTCCGGTTTGTCTATCTCAATACTTCAGATTTCCAATTGCAAATTTCGTTGTATGTCGGAATATATACTATGGGCCTCATCGTTACTACAAGTACTAAGGAAACAGGCGGATGGGCTGTGTGCTTGAGAGGTGTTAATGCTTCTCGCGTGTCCTCTGTCACACACAGGTGTAAACTGTGACCTCTGGTTCAGTTTACACCTGTGCTTTGCAAATTTGTTGCTCATAGAGCTTGAAGGTAAATTTTTGCAGCTGAATTCAGAGACAAATGCTCGATTGGAAGCAAGTGTAGATGGCTCTATATCCATCTAATCTAATCGATATAGAGAAACATGAGACAATACATGAAGAGAGAGAGATAAAAAGAGAGAGAGAGAGAGAGAGCCAGGCAGAAGAGACAAGGCAAATCCAACAGTTTTGAGCATACCTAAGAACTTAACAATCTTTTTCTCTGAAAAAATATCCTCTCCAAGCTCTTTATACAACTCCCATCCCGAACCTTTTCCACAAAAGAATAATTCAGTAAGAGAAACCTCAACGTGTAGCACATTAATGCTGATGGTCTTGCGAGGAAAGCATATGAGATTAATATATATATATATATATATATATATATATATATATATATATATATATATATATATACACATCATTGGGAGAATACCAGCAGGGATAAATAGAGATAATGGTCATCTATATATTCGATTCGATTCTGCAGATACAAATAGTAAATGCACACACACACACACACACACACAGTTGAGAAGCGGGACCAAAGAGCCAAAGCTCAACCCCCGCAAGCACAAATAGGTGAATACAAATAGGTGAGTACACACATACGCATACTCAAAGCCACAGCCATTAAATCTTCTTGCAGAATACCATACCTTAGATGCTGGAACGCTCCCAAAGTGAACATAGCATGTATACCACACACTCTTTTACGTAGTGAGAGAGAACACTGGAGAGAAGTGAGCTTCACCTATTCATTAATGAGATATTACCTGCCGGAAAGTTGCCTTTGTTTTCAAGTGGTGAAGCTGCACTTAAATGTGGAGAAAAGTGTTGAATATATTCCATCTCTGACAGATAAATTTTTACTAAGTGTCAGAGGAGAGGTTTCATTCACATCCTAATCAATATTCACGGATTTTCGATTGATTTTATTGACCACGCTATCTTAATTGTAATGGTATCTTCCTCTTGTATTACTTTAATGCTAATCTGTCAAATTACTTTGTCAACTCGACTCATCTCTCAGAGTGTGCCAACAGCTGCCTGCACTCTGTCGTTCCACTTGTCAGAACACTCTAATGTTTCACTCGAATCCACCGAGACTGAAACATCCTGTTTACCTTAAATGTTGTCAACAATGTCGCCCGAAAATTTGGCCCACCATTCACTTTCTTGGCCAAATATTTGTTTTCTTAGATACGCAAGAGTTGTATTCAGCACAACATCACTGAAAATGACATTAAGGAGATTGGTTGTATTCTGAATGAGTGTTTGCTTTCGTGGCTGCAGTAGGTGCTTGGACGACTTTCAGGATTATTTCGGGATATGAAAGTCGGGATAATAATCCTACAGTTGAGAGACGGCATAAGAATTTAAATGGCTCGGTCGTGTTCATTTGCAAATACTGTGGGAAATCTCATTCAGATTTGCTGGTTGGTGGGTATATCTGTGGGCATGTGGGTATATCTGTGGGCATGTGGGCATATCTGTGGGCACGTGGGTATATCTGTGGGCACGTGGGTATATCTGTGGGCATGTGGGTATATCTGTGAGCACGTGGGTATATCTGTGGGCATGTGGGTATATCTGTGAGCACGTGGGTATATCTGTGGGCATGTGGGTATATCTGTGAGCACGTGGGTATATCTGTGAGCACGTGGGTATATCTGTGGGCATGTGGGTATATCTGTGGGCATGTGGGTATATCTGTGGGCATGTGGGTATATCTGTGAGCACGTGGGTATATCTGTGGGCATGTGGGTATATCTGTGGGCACGTGGGTATATCTGTGGGCACGTGGGTATATTTGTGGGCACGTGGGTATATCTGTAGGCACGTGGGTATATCTGTGAGCACGTGGGTATATCTGTGGGCAAAGGACAGATCTCCTTACTTCTTGTCTTGTTTACTTTTCAATCTTTGTGATAGATTGATGAAGATTAAGGCACCCAAGAGGTGGCACGGGCATGAATAACCCGTAAAATTCCTTGTGTAGTGTGGCTGTCTTTAATTTCCTCCTTACTTTATCATCAGTGAGGTGAATAAGGCAATTGTCTGTTCATAACATTAAAATACATAAAGAATAATAGGGGTTAGCAACGGTCCCTGCGGCACACCGCTTGTCAGGTGGGGGTCGAACCAAGTGTAAAATCTTTCTTGTTATCCTAACTTGTTTAGTTATTTTATATATCACTTGTAGAGAACTGTATTAAATACCTTCTGGTAGTTCAGAAAGATGCAGTCAGACCATCCCTCTCTCTCTCTCTCTCTGTCTCTCTCTCTGTCTCTCTGTCTCTCTCTCTCTCTCTCTCTCTCTCTCTGTCTCTGTCTGTCTCTCTCTCTCTCTGTCTCTGTCTCTGTCTCTCTCTCTGTCTGTCTCTCTCTCTCTCTCTCTCTCTCTCTCTCTCTCTCTCTCTCTCTCTCTCTCTCTCTCTCTCTCTCTCTCTCTCTCTCTCTCTCTCTCTGTCTCTCTGTCTCTGTCTCTCTCTCTCTCTCCTGCCTGACTTTAGCCACTCTATCGTGATGTTCAGAGTTATCAGAAGCGATTAGGCTCTCCTGAAGCCGTACTGTATCTATGATGCTAATGATATTTTCTTAAAAGACGCGCTATTCTTACTCTGAGATTTCCATGTAATGGTTTACAGAGATTACGATTGTTGCACACTGTCACACGATGCTGTTTTGTTTCTAGAGAATCTGTTACGGACTTGTAAAGCAGCTGATACTCGAGTCTTATTGTTACTTATAATCCTACTGCTTCAAGACTTAGATATAGACTTGAATTGCATCTTTAATGTGCTTCAGTACCTTGGTGAAGGATTTAACCATTGCTCATCTATGGAGGACTCGGATAAAAAGAAGAGGACAGCCTCTCGTACGTTCAGAAGTGTTCTCTCTGAGCCGGATAAGTGGATTATTGCAGGAACGTTTATTAGCGTGGCTGCTGAAAACCCTTCGTTTAAAGAGCTCTCTCAACCACACACAAGGAGATACTTATGTCTGAACCTCCACCCCCTCCATCAGAGTGGGCTCATATGACAAGCTCATTGAGCTCTAGGAGCTCCGTGAAAACTCTGCTAAGCGTGTTTTACCTCTCAGCACAAAAGTTTACGGTACGGAGATAATTGAGCTTCTCTCAGTAACATGCAAATGAGAATATTTGAGCTGGCTCGGGTAAGCGTGTTGCCAAGGGCGCTTGAGAGTCTGTCATCATTACATGTACAATGTTTTATTGACCTTCATATATATTATGAATTTTGAACTATGTTATATTACCCAGACTGTTCATTTTTGTTTTATGGCAGGAAATTGCATTTCCTGGAGTTTCGGTTCTGGATAAGAAAATATATTGTCCTGATCTGTAATACAACGAATATTGTCTGAATTTGGGAAGAATAGATGTTACATAGTGAGTTAAATTGAGATATACAGAGCAGAAATACAGTCGAATACTGTAATGCTGGAGACTGAATGTGAGATTTGAGGAGATACTCTCAGTTACCATGACACGAAAACAGTAATATATATATATATATATATATATATATATATATATATATATATATATATATATATATATCATTATATAACTGACAATTCTATTGACACGGTTCAGATAAAAGAAAAACGGTATTTCAATTCCTCAGAATATTTATATAACTTTCAGCATTACAAATATATATTGTAATACACATCAAATATAAAGTATTTTGGATGTAAATTTCGAATAGTTTTCTTTTCCAATCACACGAATTTAAAATTATATAGCCAGACGTAAATATGTCTTTATGTGTGCATAAATTTCATTTAATAAAATATGGTTTTTCGTATTAAAGAAAAATGTTAATCACTTTCTATAGATCAAAGTTGGCGACAAGTTGAAACACAGCTGAAAGGCAATTAAGTTAATTAACACACCTGATGTGAAAAACTCTATATTCACTGATTTCTTTACTATGAAACTAGCAAGGGTAATTGGTAGTTCAAATTAAAATTGGGATGAAGGAACAGCCAAGCAGTAAAGGCGAAAACAAAATAATAGCTCACATCAGTATATTGAAAATTGTGTAATACTGTTATATATATATATATATATATATATATATATATATATATATATATATATATATATATATATATATATATATATATATATATGTGTGTGTATATCACGAAAATAAACACGTGATTAAGAATGTGACAATGTCAGACCACGGAGGAAAATGAAACAGGAATTTCCTTAAGTACTTTCGTATATTAAATACATCTTCAGAAGGAAGTTTCCTTCTGAAGATGTATTTAATATACGAAAGTACTTAAGGAAATTCCTGTTTCATTTTCCTCCGTGGTTTGACATTGTCATATATATATATATATATATATATATATATATATATATATATATATATATATATATATATATATATATATATATATATATATATATATATATATAATATGACTTAAATGCATCTCGCAACCATGTAAATTATACTTGGAATATATTTCATAAGGAACATAATTACACATGGAATATATCCCTTAAGCTCTGCAATTACACATGCAATATATATCTTGAGGTCTATAATTACATTTCGAATATATTCATCAAGGTCTACAATTATACACATGCAAAATATATCTTGGGTTCTAAAATTAGATATGAAATATATCCCCTATTATATAATTTAATATATAATTAAACTTAGAAAATGTATCCCATAAGGTCTACATATACACTTGGAAACATATACACATATAAATTGCACATATAAATTAAACTACATATATACATATAAATTAAACTACATATATACATATAAATTAAACTACATATATACATATAAATTAAACTCCATATATACATATAAATTAAACTCCATATATACATATAAATTAAACTACATACATACATATAAATTACTGAATATTTACACTACACAGTAATTACACCAAAAATAAACCTATGTTGACCCCTACAATAAAAATGATTGGCTTTATTTTCAAGATATATTTTCAATAAATCAAACCATGATGACCATAAAGAAATATGGACAGAGAGGTGTGTGAAGGTCCTTGACTCGAGGAGTAATCTGGGAATTCTGAGTTAAATCTTGAATCTTTTAGGGGAGGTGGATGATTGGGGGAGGAGGGTAAGGTAGGGAGTGTGGCAGGGTTGAAGTGTTGGGGGAGGGGTTGAAGGAAGAGGGAGTGGGGGAGAAAGAGGGATGAGGGGGATTAGGAGATACAGTAATGTTGCAAAAAATCAGCAATTATAAATTGATAAGAAATGCTTCTTTGAGTCTTATCAGACTTGCCAGACTTGCCACAGTTACTGTCAGGTTGGCCACATCCAATATCAGTCTTAACACAGCCATTATCAGACTTGCACCAGCCTATTGTTTACCTGTGAAGGCTTTCGCGAGTCCCTCTACTTCCGACACATGGGCGGGGTGCCAACTTTGCCTAATGATTGGCTAGCCTTAAAGTTCTCTGTCTTCGTATCCGGAATGTCCACACATAGCCATCATAGGCTGGTTGATCCGGTCCCCCCCCCCCACCAGAAACCTCTCGCGTTTCCTCTGGAAAACTTTCATTGTTGTTCCAGCGATATTACTTATATATTTTTTGTGGGGGGCAGGAAGTTGAAAAGTTGTGGTGCTGTAATGTTTACAATGTGTTTCTGACTTGTGTTTAGACCGCTCCTACTTTTAATTGGATCTATTTAACTATTAATGCTAGTTCTTTTCACTCCATTTTGTTGTTGTTCCGTAGATTTGGAACCTGATGTGTTCCACTGTTATGTGTTGTACAGGTGTGTGAACGGGTGTGTGTGGGTTCAGATGTGTGGAACAGGTCAAGTTCTCTCGTCTCTATGCTAAGGAATTCGCAGATTGAGTGCTTCGAGGCGGTACCAGTTGTATGAGTGCTTCACTATTCGATCTAGTAAATTATCTCTCTTCCTTTTTTCAGCTCTGTTATCTCGTGCACCTGTCAGTCTGACGAAAGCGACGGTCAGGATTGCCAGTCACTGTCAATCTCTATTGACTGTTCTGCTGTCCTCCTGTAATGACCTCCTGTAGTGACCTCGCGTAGTGACCTGTAGGGGATCATGTAGTGATCTTGTAGGGACCACTAGGGATCACTGGACTTGTGATCCTGTGGTCATGGGTTCGATCACAGGCGCCGGCGAGAAACAATGGGCAGAAGTTTCTTTAACCCTACGCCCCTGTTACCTAGCAGTAAAATAGGTACCTGGGTGTTAGTCAGCTGTCACGGGCTGCTTCCTGGGGGTGAAGGCCTGGTCGAGGACCGGGCCGCGGGGACACTAAAAGCCCCGAAATCATCTCAAGATAACCTCAAGATAAGATAACCAGCATCCTGGGTAACCCCAGACACGCCCCCTAAACCCACCAACTATGATATGCTAAAGATTAAAATGATTTAACCTGGGATCTTTCCCTCCGAATCCCCTTAAGGCGGGCGCCGGTTCGATACCCATCCTGCTCCAAAGATTTTCAAAATTCCCTGCTGACCTTTCAGATCATTTTCTTCTGACCTTTCTGGGGATCTTCCTGTTGACCTGAGCGGTTGTTTTGAGAATCCTACGTCTTAATTCACTTCCGGGAAGAGTCCTGGCGGAGCAGAATTGCGCTTCTCCTAATTTCCTGTTTGTCGCCCTCGGGACTTTAATTGTTCAGGGAAATATCTTTTATGGTGGGGGAATTACTTTGTGGGGAAAAATGGGCTGAGAGGTGTGTCTCTTGGGGACGATTGTCCATTAGGGAATTTTTCTGGAAGGTTGGTAAGGGTGAGAGGGGGGTAGTGGTGGTGGTGGTGGTGGTGGTAGTGGTGGTGGTAGCTGTGATTGTGGTGGGGGTAGCCGTGATTGTGGTGGTGGTAGTGGTGGGGTGGTGGAATCCTTGTTATTTCTGGTGGTGGTGTTACAGGGGGCGTGGCAGCTGACATACAGCTGCACACACAAGTTATCGTTTACGCTGAGAAACAAGAACCCCTTGAAAGAACCAGGAACTCCTTGAAAGAACCAGGAACTCTTTGAAAGAACCAGGAACTCCTTGAAAGAACCAGGAACTCCTTGAAAGAACCAGGAACTCCTTGAAAGAACCAGGAACTCTTTGAAAGAACCAGGAACTCCTTGAAAGAACCAGAAACTCCTTGAAAGAACCAGGAACTACTTGAAAGAACCAGGAACTCCTTGAAAGAACCAGAAACTCCTTGAAACAACCAGAAACTCCTTGAAACAACCAGGAACTCCTTGAAACAACCAGGAACTACTTGAAAGAACCAGGAACTCCTTGAAAGAACCAGAAACTCCTTGAAAGAACCAGGAACTACTTGAAAGAACCAGGAACTCCTTGAAAGAACCAGAAACTCCTTGAAAGAACCAGGAACTCCTTGAAAGAACCAGGAACTCCTTGATAGAACCAGGAACTCCTTGAAACAACCAGAAACTCCTTGAAACAACCAGGAACTCCTTGAAACAACCAGAAACTCCTTGAA